CCCCCCCCCCCCGATTTTCCTTTGAGGAACTACCAGTCCTGCTTTGGATAAAATCTTGATGGGCCATGGGGTGGGTACATGACCCAAGTTAAACCAATCAGTGCCAATCGTGTCATAAAGGCTAATAATGTATCACCAAGACTGAAATGGTTGGACTGAACCTTCCCACCAGATATAGGAGCCGGGAAAACCTCCCCATCAGCTTCTCTTACCAAGTCCCTTTGGCTATCTTGGTTCTTGCCCTGAGACCTGGCTCTTCTGCTTTTATCTGTATTCTGTGANCAGATATAGGAGCCGGGAAAACCTCCCCATCAGCTTCTCTTACCAAGTCCTTTTGCTATCTTGGTTCTTTCCCTGAGATCTGGCTCTTCTGCTTTTATCTGTATTCTGTGTTACTACACATCCTTCCAATAAATTATCACTCCTTTAAGTTAGTCATAGGTTGCTGTTGCTTGCAACCCAAGAACCCTAACTTAGCTCCTACAACCTGGCCCCCTCCACGTGGGAGCTACACTCACCCCACTCGAACATACACTGCATGCGGGCAGGGTGCACTTTACCTATATCTCTATCTCCAGGGTTGTCCATAGTCCATGGCATCGATATTGTTGAGTTACAATGGAACCAACAACCTGTCTAACCCAGTTATGCCTTGAAGCCCTCACCCCTTTTCAAATTCTCCACGCTCTGCAGGCCATTCTGGATCTGCCCACCGGTGTGTCTCTCACTTGTCTCCTTGTATGTGATCTTTCTGGAGGGCCTCATTCCTTCTTCTGGGAGCTGCCGACTCGTGTGTCTGTAACTGCAGCCCCAACTTCCCATGCTCTAGACTGGAATGCCCAGCTGAGTGGGCTGGGCACCGTGCCTCAGCAAGTGAACTTGCCACTTTCCTCCCTCACTTACTTCTCTCCTTTGCCTGTTTTTAGAGATATCATCAGAATCCACTCACAGAGCAGAAAAACCTAGGTCATTCGTGACCCTTCTCACACCTGTCTTTCATTCTCATAGGCTTTCCCCCCCAAACTTTTTAAGTCTCCCCCTCAGGCTCTTGTCATCTACTCCTCGGACGATAGATTTCTCTCTAACCTCC